CACAACTTCTTTAAGAAAGCACTCGATTAAGAAAAGTCTAGAAAATACTTAAAAACTAAGAAGTATTTTATAAAATACAGAACCGTAATTAACAATAAGAACAATAGGCGTATTAATGCGCACTAATAATAATAATAGTGTTTATCAAGTCTGTTTTTAAATTGGAAAACATTATCAGCCTCAACAACTTCTCTGGGAAGTTGATTCCAGTGTGAAACGATTCTATTAGTAAAGAAGAATTCTTTTTGGCTAATGTTTATGCTTGGTTTGATGAGGGGGTGTAGATTATTTATAATCGCTCATGCAGGACCTTGGAGCTGATGCCAGTACGACTGATTTATTAGGACTTGCCAATTTACTTTTATGATGCTGTTGGAGATTTTAAAATAATCAATTAACATTCCCCTAATTCTTCGTTCTTTAAAGGTAGTTAAACCAAGAAATTTGAGTCTCGATTCATAGTTAAAGCAGGCACTAAACTTATATTTAGATGATTCCAAAAATTATTTCCGATTAGAAGGGGATATAAGTTTTGAATAAAAAAGTAAAACGATTGACGCTTTAAAAGCATTTTTATGATATTTAATATTTTTTAATAAAAATAGACTCACGTAAAAACTTTTATAAGTATTTTATAAATATTAAAACGAGTTTTTGAATTATCTTTAATTTATTGGGAACTTTTGATTTGCATTTTTAACTTTAATTCCACACATCGTCTTTAGCTTTTGTCCTTTTTACTAATGGAGGACCATATTTATAAACAAAAAAAAAGCTTCATTTTTTGTCCAATAAAATCCCTCAATTTAGACATCTAGTATACCATTGCTTTGGGAAGTAAAGTCAATCTTATATACTGGTTTTTGCATTTAATCTAGTGGATTTTTGCACGAATCTGGCGGTTTTTTTCATTTATTCTGGCGGTTTTTTGAATTTATCTGGTGGTTTTTTGCATTCAATCTGGCGTTTTTAAAATTTATATCAATTTTATAATGCATATTATGAATTGTTAAAATTATTACAAAACAAGTGCAACCAGGTAATGCTAATTTAGTTTCTTTATATAAAAGTGCCTCATTTTTTCAATTTAGAGAAATAACTATGTAACTGTTTAGAGACAACGTTCTTCAAGTTTTATTCATCGCAAAGTTTTTTATTTGTACACGAAAATTAATTAATCAAAAGTATTAAAAAAAGTTGGTTTCCTTCTGGACAAAACAAGTGCAACTCCACAAAATGTTGACCAAGCTGTATTTTGCTATCAATATTTTGTGGCGAAACCTTTGTTGTCGATCACAGCCTTGCATCTTTGAGGCATAGATTCAATCAGGGGATCAATGAAACTTTGTGGAATCGCTGCCCAGGCCGTTTGGATTTGTTCAAACAGTTGATCCAAATTACGAACACCTTTACGATTAGTTCTGCGGTTGACGATCTCCCACAGGTTCTCGATAGCGTTGAGATCCGGAGATTGAGGCGGCCAACCCATCACCGATAGGTGGTTGTCTTGAAACCACTGCTTGACTACTTTTGCAGTGTGTTTCGGATCGTTGTCTTGCTGAAAAACACATTTTATTGGCATATTCCATTCAGCATGAGGTAACATAACATCTTTCAGGATATTTTTATACATGAAACGGTCCATTACTCCATCGTTTCGATGTATTGAACCTAGACCGTTAGCAAAAAAACACCCTCAGACCATTACATTGCCTCCACCATGCTTCACGGTCTTATGGCAGTAACGTTAATCGAGACGTTTTCTGGCCGGTCGATGTACACGGCAAATGCCATCGCTCCCAATGATGTTGAACTTCGACTCATCACTAAACAGGACAGTTCGCCATTTCTGCACATTCGAATCAATATGAGATGAGCAAACAGGAGTCTTTTCTTCTGGTTCTTTAGTGAAATCAGCGGTTTTTTTGCAGGGCGTCGAGAAAACAATCCGGCTTCAACAGCACGTTGTCTGATTGTTCGGTCCGATACAGGCAGCTCTAATTGCTTTTGTATCTCGACTGATGATATCCAGGGATCCTTCTTGACGGATCTGACGATCATAGAATCCTCTTTAGAAGTGGTGGAACGCGGTCTTCCACCTTTGTTGTCTGCTGCCAATTTCCCCGTAGAACGATTTTTGGAACATAGTCTTGATACGGTCCATTTTTTCACGCGATATTTATCACAAATACTTTTTTATGACATTCCACTTACGTAATCGCCAATAATTTTCTTTCTTAGTTCCAATTCAAGACTGTCGGGAGCCATTTTTGCACTTGAAGTCATAAAAATAAAAAAAATAAATAATTGCGCTTCTCAAGGCTTACCGTGTTACACTTATCTTGTGATGATACAATAATGCTCTGTGGAACACAACGTCTTGGTTGGATGTGGACAGTATTGATTTAATAAAACACTTGTTGTATTTCACTTCTTGTATTGATGTTCTTGGATAAAACACTTTGATAAACTGTCTTGATAATACTGACTGATTGATTTCCATATACTGACTAAATTACATGTCGGTTTACATTTCACTTATATAGTAAAATGAACCTGTGTGAACCTGTTCTGAAAGATTCTAGATGCTTCTTTTCGATGTTTCTTGAAGCTTCTGGATGCGTCTGGGTGTTTCTGAATGTTTCTGGATACTTCTGGATGCTTCTGAATGTTTCTGGATACTTCTGGATGCTTCTGAATGCTTCCAGATGCTTCTTTTGGAAACTTCTGCATGCTTCTGGAAACTTCTGGAAACATCTGGATACTTCCTTTAATTATTAAAAAACTTTCGTGACGTTGACACGGACCAGACTTAGGAAAAAGAAACAAACCAAAAAAGTTGCACATGGCATGCTATGACTCCAGACTCCTGAACTTTTTGTTGTGGTAGTATAGTTCGTTTCGTTTTTAAGACATGTAAATTTAGGAACACTTTTTAGCATTGTTCGATCTTGGTTGCAAATGTTTTGTCCAATACTGTATATATAACATACAAGTTCGGAAAAACAATTTTTTTAAAAAATTATTACTTTATTCTCTATTAATGTCATCTCCATTAACACATTGTGTGAGAAAAGATTCGCAGTGTCTCACAAAGTTTGAAAGATCATGTTCAGTAACGTGCTCACAACCGTTCCTCATTTGTTCTAACAAATCGTTATTTCCGATCGGAGCTATTTGTCCTCTTGTAGTATTCTTAATTTTCGAGAATGTCTCTTCACAAGGGTTTAGAAAAGGTGAGTATCGGGATAAAAAAAGAACTCACTAATGGGTCTTAGTATGTATAGTTCAATTTTTTTAACCATCGCCATAATGTAGAGACATTGACATCAAGTCCCAGTTCTATCTTTAACTCCTGTAGATTATAGTTTTTGTTATCTCCAATCAATTCGTGTAGCTTATTTCTTATTTCCTCAGTACAACCTGACTGTCGAAAACCACCTCTAATACCAGGATTGATACTACCAGTTGATAAATACCGATGGACCAGGCGTCGTATTGAAGTCTCACTTTTATGCACGAGTTCCGATACTTCTTTCACACTTTTCCCTTTGTTAATTAAAAGATTAATGATCAAATTTCTTACTTCGACATTATTCTCTGAGCATTGTCTTCGTGCGTTATTCATTTTGAATTTTTAAAAAATTTAAGAGAAAACGGGCTTAAAATTGTACATAAGAAAGTTAAGTTAAATAAAGCAATAAAAACGAATCTGTTTATCATGATAAAGAAAAACCACTAGATTGAATGCAAAAAACCGGCCAGATTAAATGCAAAAACCGGTAATATATAAGATAACGTCTTCGCCGCTATAACAGCTACCATTTTTGATAGGGGAAAATAAACTTTGGATCTGTAGCGCAAAGAGAACTTAAGTTTTTTATTTTATTTTTTGAATGTTCATTGGTAATATCATTTTTTTTTAAATTTTTTCATAAGTTGCTCCCGTAAACAGTTTTAGGGGAGAGTAGGCGATAGCGAGAGATAAAGCTCTCGCTTCCTGCCGAGGCCTATATATATATATATATATATATATATATATATATATATATATATATATATATATATATATATATATATATATATATATATATATATATATATATATATATATATATATATACTATATATATATATATATCTATATATATATATATATATATATATATATATATATATATATATATATATATATATATATATATATATATATATATATATATATATATATATATATATATATATATATATATATATATATATATATATATTAAAATTTTTAATTATTAAATTAAAATTATTAAATTTTTATGTTTGTTTATTTAAAATGTTGATTTAATCAAAATAAGTAAAAACTTATTTTGATTAAACCAACATAAGTATATATCATATACTGCTGAGTTAGGTGAGCATGATGATGTCATACTCACCTAACGTCAAATAGCCTGCTGCCAGAGGCTTCAGTACATACATCGACTGACAAATAGCCTGACTCGCAGTGGGGTGCTGCTACATCAACTGAGGGTTTGGTA